ACTTCGGGCAACATGGCGCCCTCCTTCTTGCAGTCGTCCTCGAGGAGAGCACCCTCGAGGCGTTCAGCAACCTCATTTATAGAGGCTGATAGCAAGGATGTTGGCCTCGGGGCGAGAAGGCCAGGAGGAAGATGCCCAGTGCGTCCTCGCTTGCTGACCGTCTCACCCTGCTCGATGCGCGAGCGCTTGCCCAGAGCAAACTCACGTCCCGAGTCATTAGATTTGCCGGACTCGATCAGAGCTTTGGTCGATCCGGCAGAGGTGGTCTTGGAGGAATGTTGGTCGAGAGTAGCTTTGTCAGAGATTTTGGTTTTGGATGAAGTGTTGGGCTCGGAGGGTTTGTCGATAGTTTTGCCTTGAAAGTTGTCTTTGGGAGGGGAAGTTCGAGGACCTGTCTTCTGGGAGCGGTCGTCGGTCTTTTGATGGCGGTCGACGGTTTTCTGGCGATCGTCAGTCTTTTGATTGCGGTCGACGGTTTTTTGGCGATCATCGGTCTTGGGTTGGTGGTCGACGGTTTTCGAGGAGTTCGAGGATTTCTTGGTCGATTGAGAGGCAGATTTGTGTGATTGTTGTTGTTGTCGTGGCTGTTGGGGCTGCTGCTGCTGTTGTTGTTGTTGCTGTGTTTCTTGGGCGATTGCGGAGGAGGCGGCGGAGTTTGCCGCGGGGGCGATTGCGGAGGAGGCAGCGGAGTTTGCCGTGGGGGTGATTGCTGTTGAGGCTCTGGTCGAGATCCGCCAGAGCTGGCCGACCCATCGACCTTGCCGCTGGTCGATCCAGCAGCAACTCCCAATTTCTTCTTCAAAGGGACTTTCCTCAAAGGGATGTTAAAACTAGGAGCCTCTACACAAGTACAATAGGGAGATCAAGATAAATATCAGTTTTTTACTTCGACAAGAAATAAGAACGTATACACAAACACTCGAGCAAATGGGTTGAGAATTACCTGGATCATTGTCAATACGAACAAGATTGAGAATCTCCTCAGTAGGAGGAGAGAGAGTCTTATGGGTAAGCAGGCCGCAAAAATGAAGAAGATTTTCATCACCAAGGAGTTTTTCAGACTCAACGGATTTGGCATTCCAAGTGTGAATCCGTTGGTCGAAGAGATCGTTCGAAGGAGGGGCCGAGGCCGCCTCTCGCGAGACTTCCTTGACCCAAGGAATGGAAGGCCATGGGAAAGGGGCGTCAGGTCGAACAAAAATTAATTTATCACTCCACTTGGGGAGGTTAGAAGGGACGTCGTTGATGAAATGGGCACCATTGCGGCTTTTCAGGTAAAGGTCTCGACCTTGCTTCGAAGGGCCATAGCAATAGTGAAAGAAATCCAGATCGAATCGACCTAAACGGACATGGCAAAGAATAATGAAAACGTTCATGAAACGGATAGCATTAGGGGAAAGTTGATGCAAGAGAAGAGAGAACCACTCGCAAATGCGAAGTAGCTCAGGACTTAAAGGAAAACGGAGTCCGAGTTTGAACTGAATCTCGAAGAAAGTATAACAATCTTGCGGAGGATGATCGTATTTGTCAGAGGGAGAAGAGCTAAGGAACGCCCAACCAAGAGGTTGCCGATTTTTTCAGGATTGAACCAAGGGTAAGAAAGAGAAGTGGAAGATGGGAGCTTGGAAGGTTTTTTGGTCGAGGATCGCTTGGGCGGAGAATTTGAAGAGGGAGGAGCAGTGGGCTGCGAAGAAATAACCTCGTCCTCCTCTGGCTCGTCTAACGCGCCAAGAGCAGGTCGACGGCGGCAGAGAGGAATGTTATCCATGGTATCCCCGGAGTTTGAAGAAGCAACGCGGGCTGTGAAAACACGGGTAGGAACTGTATCACCGGGGCGAAGGATAGAGAGGGGGACAACTTCGAGCGCAGAGGGAAGTATTTCAATCGAATCAGAGGAGGTCTCAGAGTCTGAAAAGAAAATCAAAACAAAGACAAAGAGAACAATATCAAAAAGAAGTCTCCGCAAGGAAGAAAGAGGGGAGAAGAAAGATTAGGGTTTTGGGGGAGAGCAATCCAAAAACCAGAAGAAGAATTTGGGAGGTATAGGGACGGAAATTTCAAAAATTTTCAGAGGAGAAGCAAAACCCTCAACATTCAATAGACAGACAAGAGTATTCCAAGCACAAATTCAACACAAGACATGTCAATTTGAAACAATTCAGCAGACAAATCAAGGGTACCCAATATTGAAAATCCAAGAATACACAAAATAGAACTACAAAGAATACAAATTCAAGCGTGGAGAGACTTACTCATAACCGTGGATCGATAATTGATGGAAGTTCGAAAGATCGCAGGAGAAATCGTCGAGAAAGTAAGGGTTTTTTGCAGAGAGAATTCTGGGTGCAGAGTAATCCGAAAATTGTGAGGGTGGAAAAAAGTTGGAAAATACGCTAAGTATGGAATTTATACCTTGGAAGATTGAAGGGTGGAAAGATAAGGGCCGTCGGATTAAATTTAGATCCTACGGTGGGGAGTATTAATTTGCACAGAGCTCAAAACAGACGCGTTAGGCGAGGAGGCGCAATAGTTAAAGCACCTGACACATATGACAGACGTGACGCGTGGCAGAAAGCGGGCGCGACAGAAAGGACTTGAAGCAGATGACTTTATTTCTAGAGATTAATGGGAAATTATTCGAAAAAATGAGCGGGAAACTTACCAGCCGGTCGATATCTGACGATGAGCCATCCAAAAGGTCGATAAATACTAATTCACTCTTAGATCGAGTCATTCAGACTCGACCAGAGTGGGGGGGGACTAGATGATATGGGATATTATATACATAAGGCT